ACATCCTGTTTTGATGTAATTATTAGCTAGACCAGGGATCGGCAACCTTTGCTATCAAAAGAGCCATTGTTGGCTAAAAAAGAAAAAAAAATTCTGTCTGGAGCTGCAGAACCTATTTGAGCCTCATAATGAAGGTAACACAATTTTAAGTTGGATTTAGTTTATCAACATTACTAACAGATCTAAACAAGCATTCATTAATATGTTTTAACACAAGGTGGCTATACTGCAGTAGGCCATATTTGATTATTTGGCACTTTAACTTTGCAGCGCTGCAGAAGAAAACAGATTCTTGAGATTTTTCCCTTTTTGGATTTGGAATCCACAGCTAACCTAGCTAGGAAGACTCAAGACTACTGCAGAGGAAAAGGCGCTATGACAGACATATGACGCACATTTTAGTTGACGAAATGTTTAAACATTTCTTTAAATGGTGTATAGGCTATGCATTTTTACAGCTGAAGAATGTAAGAATCACTTTAGACCTACAACAATAAATGAAAATTAAATTGTTATTTACCTGTATAATTTTCTGTCAAAGCCTCAGGGAGCCACTGGAGAGGGGCTAAAGAGCCACATGTGGCGGTAGAGCTACAGGTTGCCTATCCTAAGGGCACCTAAGAGTGTGTTCCGGATTGCATACTTTTTCTTTTCTTGTAGTAGGTACTGCAGCTGCCCGTAAAAAGTATGTACTGTCTCATGCAGTATGCACACAACTGTGACATACTTCTTCCTCATAACGTTACACCCTGAACCTTGACCCTCTTACTCATGTATCTGTTACCATGGAGATAACAAAATGCTGTTCACCGAGCTCACCAAAGATGGAGGTCAGCCTGGAAGCCTCTGATGTTGTTTTTCAGAATAAGTCATGACTGCATACATTGTAGTTTCTAACAGATATTCATGATAGTAAAATTACACATGCTATGCATTTCTCTGTCATTGTTATTTAATACGTATGTCCTTTTGTTGTTGGTTATATTTATGACTATTTTATTCAATTAAACAATTAATGTTCCTATTATTGCTAACCGACTGGTCATCAGTCACCTGAATGTGCTGTGTGACGGAGGGAGGAGAACCCTCCATGTCCTGATGCTGCCTGCTCATCATGTTGAGGGCTGACACCTGGCTGGGTGTGGGTGTGGCCAGCAGGCCTGAGCAGAAAGGCTCAGCTCTGTGCAGGCAGTCTCTCTCTGCACTCCTTCCTGGTTGGACCTCCAGCACATGCTGTGGGGTTTTTTTTTGAGGCCTCCTTTTCTTTGTTTAGTGGTTTTTTGATTCTCAGGTTCTTACATATACACAGACATACATATATTTTCCACCACCTTACTTGCAAACACACATCCATGCAACACTTACAAATGATTTTGATTCTATTTTTTCTAAGTTAATTAATACATTTCTTTGTTAAAAGTAATGCAGTGTGTGGTCTCCAACTTTTGTCCAGTTCCCTGAGCATGGACCGTGACAGCTGCCATTGATCATTGTGGCCTCTGACAGTCAATGTGACAAATCTTTTGCTGTGCAGAGCTGTTGGCTTGCATACTGCAATATATGACAGGATGTAGTAGAACATCCTGGTATTTATGACATACTATGTATTTGGACATACTTAATCTTTTTCTTGCATACTATATAGTATGGTAGTATGGGTATTGGAAAGCACAGTGTCTTCAGTATTACGAGCTGTAGTTGCTTTTCTTATCATGACCAGCAGATGGAGCTGGTACTACAGTAGATAGTATAACTGGTGGCCCAGTAGACTGACAGATGTGTTGAAAATAAGTACTTTAAACTGTGACTATGTATAATCACATATATAACTATATGTTTATATGAACAGAAAGTTAGATCTGATATGTTATTTTCCAGTCATCATTTGCAGGAACATAGTGGAGGGCTCTCAACTGAGCTTTTATTACTGACCAATCATAAATGTACAATCTATGCCATAGTTACTTTATTTACATAGTTAGGTTATTTTAAGAAGAAGAAGAAGACTTTTAGCAAAATTCAGAATAAAACCATAATTATCATCATTTTCAACACAGCTGACATCATTGAATGCTGTGTGGAGGAACTCTTTCTTGCTCCCTTAAATTTAGAGAAACACACACACATCCACACCCATACACAAACATAAAAGCATTATAATTACACCAAGTGCAAATATGTAATTAAAGGACAAGTGGGGGTTTGCATCAAGGTGAGATTAAATTGGAGATGTTATGTTGAGAAAATCAAGAGTATGTGTGCTGCAATAAGCAAGAAGCTGAAAGTGAAGCTTTTGCTTTCAAAATAAAAGATTTTTAATGTAGGTTGAACTCACTGAGATGAAATAGCCTATGCTTTGTGTGTGTGTGTGGGAGATTAACACTCAACATACATTAACAACATACAGCTTAATAGTATAATGAAATACAAACAAAGACATATGATTTGTCTGTTTTGTTGTATTTGGTTTTTACCTGTTTCCATCACACACAGGACAGATGGAGCAGATGCTGGACCGAAAAATAAAACTATATCCAACAAGTACTCAGTTCAGTCACCAGAAAAAAATGTTGACATTGTTTGTTTCTGCAACCCCAGATACATTACATTTGTTTGTTTTATATGTATCCAATCAACAGGAAATGGTGGATGGCATGACACCTAGGTAAGATGGATGCCAAGCAGCCAAGCAGCACACAACACACTCTCTCATTTAACTTTAATGAGAGGTCGTGACATTTTCAGCTGTGGTGGTGACGACAAAAGCAGATTTTGAAGCCAAAACATCTTGTTTTCCTTTAAAACCAAGTGGGTTTAGTGCCAAAACCTAACCACACCTTAACCACAGCGTCATCACAACATAAAACTGAACATAAAGCTCAACATATTCCTGCTTTGAAAAGTGCAATGCCAGCATTTATCATGTTCTGACTGTTGTGAGTAATTGAACAACATGATCATGTAAAGACAGATAATTAATACAAGTAGCAGGGTGATAGTTACTACTGACAACACTGAGATCCAGGAATGTTAGCAACCTTGGCAGAGATGACATTGTACTACAATTGAAACAATAAGTTGATTAATCAACAAATTCAGTAACAAAAAAGTCGTCAGTGACTATTTTGATGATCAGTTTTACAGTATGTCAAACATCTATTGGTTTAAGCTTCTCACATGTGAAGGTTTGATGTGCTTCAGTGTCTTGTAGTCAACTGAGTATCCTTGGGTTTTTGGACTGTTGGTCGAATTAAAGAAGCAATTTAAATCTCGGATTGTGGGAAATTCCAATTGTATAGACAAAACAATTATTTGATTAATGAGTTAATTGAGAAAAAATGGCAGGTTCATTGCTGATGACAATATACTTGCAACCCTACATTCTTACAATTAAAAAATTACACATGGTAGCCTTATTCCACTTACTTTGGTCTCAGTATACTTGTTTATTATTTGTTTACTTATTGAAGCACATCTTCATTGAAAAAGAGTTAAATATTCAACAAACATAACAATTACACAGAGAAAAATGTTTCCACTTTTGTCTTCCATTTCCTCTCATCATTCTCAAGATAGGCTACTCATTTTTGAATTTTCTTTATATAACTGAAAAAAATAGTATTTAGTAATTTAAATTTAAATGATCAATTCTTAATTTGTATTTAGAGAACTGTTTTTAATGATGGTACTGGCATCTTCAGATAAAAATGACAGACTATAGGCTATAATTGAACAGTTCCATATCTTAATAAAATGACATAATTTCACAAAATTAAACCACTTTAGCATCTTTCTTCTTGGTGTCTTTTCCAAATATTAATAGGGGAGACTGGGGATGGTTGTAACGGTATAATAGTTGTACCAACACCACTTTTGATTAGCACTGATACTGTTGAAATTACACATGGTACTTATATTAGATTAGAGACATGTCTCTTGGGTAAAATGTGAGGCATTTCATCTTTGATCATTTCAAACCATGCTGCTACAGCTGGCTAAACATGGCTGACGGGGTGGGGATGGTTGTAACACCTTTTAAAAGTCTAACAACTAACTGCAATGACAACTAAACACATTTTCTTTATATATCACCCTTTTTTTAAGCATTCTGGTGGAGTTGATGAAAAAAAAACTGATAAGGGTGCGGTTGAGGCAGGTAAAGACAGTAAGATTGGTCCCCAAAGAATACTGTATCTGTCATGTGACATTGAGAAGATCCTGCAAAAAATAAGAAAAAAAAATTAAATAAATGGCAAAACATCAGAGAGCTATGGGCTATCACAGCAGTCAAAAACACTGTGCAGCAGCAGCAAGAGGATGTCTTGACTGGTTACTTGACTGAGGCAGCAGACATGTATATTGGACTCAGTCCATGTGAGGTAAGCATCTGACAGGGACAGGTTAGCAAATTAGACCTTAGTAGGAATTTGTTATTAGTGTGTGTATCAGGGTTTTTTTTTACGTGTATTTTTTTATATTATTATCATGTAAATTTTAATTCCTCACTCTTATTTTTACTACTTACCCCAGGGTTGTGTTTCTTACCCCATTAGTGGGGCAGGTTGTAACAATGGAGCTCCTTACATTTGAATTCTGTAATATAGTTGGAGAAGTTGAAAAAAATGCTACTTGTAGTCGAGAAATATTCGAATACTTTGGGCCAAAATTTGAGAGTGCTAACACAAAAATTCAGAGAGTTATAGTTACTGAGACAAAATGTGGTACAACCACTCCCGGTCTCCCCTACTGTACTGTGTTCGAGGGCTGGCCGTCTGTGAGTGTGAGGTTTCAGCACTTGTTAAATAATTAAATAGATACCTACATAAATCGACAAAATTCAGAGTAAAATCTTATTTTGAAGGTAGCAGTCGGAAGTGTAGTTCTTTTCTCCTACTGCACTTTTCAACTACCTGATGGCGCGCGCGACCGGTGTGGGCAAGTCATAACCCTCGCGGCAACCAACTCGCTCTGCAGGTTAGCCCGGTGAATCACTCCTCCAATAGCTTTAAGTAGGACACACTTTCCTCATGCTTTTATTTTCCTTCCGCACTCTCTGAAGGAGGACCTCTTTCACAGACACCATGAGTAAGTCCGGCACCCTGAAAATAAAGGGCTTGTTTAAATTAAAATCACCTGATAAAGACAGCAAGGAGCAGAAACGGTCGGGCACCCTCAAAGATGGAGCAGCTACCAGCCTCGCGAGCCCCGCGAGCCCCGGTGCCCTCAGCCCGGGATACAACGCCACACTGGCCGATGATGTGTTACCCATTTCCCCTAAAGTAAAGAAGGATAAGCGGCTGTTGCCGTTCAGGCTGAAACGGAAGAAATCCAAGCACAAAGAAGAAGAAGGAGGAGGAGGAGGAGACGTGTTCTTCCCTGATGAACTGGACAGCTTCCACAGCCACCTGTAAGATAAAAACAAATTCATTATTATTATTTTTTTCATTTTTTGAGGACATGTGTAACTATTTGAGTTGATGAAACAGGCTAGGTTACATGAACTTTATGTACTTTGTTACCACTGTAATGTTGTCATAGTTTTAAAATTAAAACATCCTCTATTTAGAAAAAAAATAAAATAAAATATCTCTGCTGTCAACTAAAATGGTAGCCTATTTAATAATTTAATTTGGAGGCTGGGTGATGCCAGTGCAAAACAAAATCATGCATTTTCTTATGTAGAAATGTAAGTAAGTTAATAGTGAAACCAATGGGCCCGGTAACTCCCACATTGGCCCCTGGCAGTCTTTAAGCTCTGCTCTGGAAACCAGCTTGCACCATATTTCACAAGCTGACAGAACTGAAGGAAGCACTGAAGCGTGTGGGTAGAAGCATCTCACAGAGTGACTGTTTCCCCCCTGGCACTTTTAAAAAACTAACCACTGTGGCATTGAGCTGTGGCTGAGCTAGTTTAGTCAAGCCTGAAAAAGGCAGACAGAGGTAAACAGATACAGTGAGGAGGGCGTGCACGCACAACATGAGATGCTGTTGTGTTCTCCTCATGCAGTTCAAATATTTAATTTTACATATTAGGTCTTTACCATGTGAGAAGTGGGGAAAGTGGAACGCAGACTGACACCAATTAGTTTGGTGCCTTTGGGCAAGACTCTTTGCCCCAACCCTTTGATGCCCGAACACTGGCCATTGGTACAAGACTGTGGCAGCTCCTCGATGGAACGTGGAGGACTGTGTGACTAAGAATAGCATGCTGAGTCACTCTTCCCTGGATGAATTAAAGATTCAAAAAGAAACTGGTCAACCTCAAGTGGTCACAATAATTGCAGAGAAATTTCCAGTACTTTATTTATCCAAGATGTTTCCGGATCTCTTGTCTGATTCTTTTATTTAGATCCATAAAGTTTTACATTTTAAGCAGTTTGTTGATGAGTTGAGATGTGTTGTGTCTGACTCAGGTGTTACAAGCTGTCAGGTTAACATACACAGACAGATGCTGATCCTTAAATGAAAAACCTGCTGTGCAGGTATCAGGGGTTTTCTTGTTGTTGTTCAATTATATGTGGCTCAATCAAGTCGATGTTATGTCTGAGCTGGTCTGGGTCCAATGACTAATACAGAGGCCAGAGTGGCACATCGAAAACACACAACAGTCTGAGTAATATGATGCAGGACGCACAATTAATTATATGACAATGAATGTGTCTTCACTGTTGTTTTGTGCAGTGAGTGCCTCGGTGCATCAAAATAATGTTCTCTGTTTACTGATAAACTCATCAGTCATAGGCAGTGGTTTCAAACCGGCTGAGATTGACTGGTCTTTGCTTCCCAAACATCTGCAAGCAAGCACATTTCCTTGACACTGAACTTTCAAGTGCAGTTTCACGTCTTTATAAAGGTAAAAACCCTTTTTATTGACCACATGCTCTGGTGTCTGAGGCTGCTATAGGACTAGAGGAATTGTAGAACACGTTGAAAGACTGACCATGACTGTTATTAATACATTTAGAAAATGATTTACAGATTCATCGATCGACAGACTGATACAGTGAAGAAAAGACAATCTCAAGTCCATGTTTGCAGTGATATTACTGGAAATTTTTATCCTTAAATGTTAATAACAACAACAAGAATACAAAACAAAAACACAAGCATTCACTGAATTTTTTAAAGTTGGTGTCCTGATTTTTTTTTTTTTTTTGATTTTTTTTTTATCACTCTTAATTTCCCTGCAGGGACCAAAAGCAACAATGAACTGAACCTGTCTGTGTAGTCTAGGTGTTGGTGATATGACAATGTAATAGTAATTGTCTACTGTCAAAGATCTTGCCATTTAATTCAATTCAATTCAAAGAACTTTATTTATTCTTACGCCAGAGAGTGCTTCAATTACAGTAACACAAATTACACTAACAACCATTTATATTAACATTACCACAGGAGCTCCCCCTTAAATACTATTTCCCTGATTGTATTATAGCAGAGGATTTAAATCTGTGAAGCCTGCCTCCATATGGGGGTGCAGAGGGAGAGATGTGAAGCAAAACATGAGGTGACGGGAACAGGTGCATACTGGTGTTCTAAAAACAACAGAAAGTTAGTTATTGTAGTTTGGCTCACTTGCCAATATGGTCAGCTGTTGGAGCTGCAGCAGTGCCTCTGACATGCAGTTCAGGAGGCAGTTTAGGAACTTTAAAGGAATACTTCACCAGCCAAATGACCATTTGTGTATCAATTACTCACTCTGTGTTACACTGAATTTTGTTTTTCTTGCATGCCCTCAGTGAACAAAAAATCCAAAAACGTAGAAAGCTGCTGATGAATAGAAGTCATAGGTGACTGCGTTTGATAATAGCAAAACTACATCAAAATATTCATTAACAACTCATACACAGCTCATGCAGTATAATCCAAGTCTCATTTATCCGCACAGACGGCTCTTTCTGACAGGGAACTGAACTGAAAGTGAAAGTTATCTATGCTCTCTTCAAAGCCAGACTCCTACAGTAATTCTACCTTGTTGAACATGGGGGCTGCTGGTCTATAGCTGCCTCAATTGGTAGTTTGTTTGTTTTTGTGTAACTTTGGGGAACTAACCCTTTAAAACAGGAAAGTCACACGGTAACACAAACTAACTAACTGATTGAGATTGTAGTAGACCAGCAGCTCCAGTGTTCACTTAAGTAGATTTACTGTTTTTGTCCGTGGAGTCTGGCTTTAAAGAGAGCATCGATACGTTTCACTCTCAGTTCAGTTTCAGATACTAAGGTTTTAGGAAAAGTGCATGCATTTGGGAAGTACTGAGTGTAACACTGGATAAAGGAGATTTGGATTATACTGCATGAGTTGTGTGAGAGTTTGTGAGTGGATATTTTGATAAAGTTTTGCTGTTGTTGAACGTGGACCCCTGTGACTTCAATTCATCAAGAATTTTCTCAGTTTGTAGATTCTTTACAAACTTAGATTAAGGGGGTTAAAAGACTCTATAATACAGATACTTGAACTACTAGTGTGCACTTGTGTAACTGATAAACCTGTCTTTCATCATCTTCACGTGTGGTGTTGATTGACACCAGTATTTCAGTAACATAAACTCAACTGCATATGATATAATGGTGTTGGCTTTCAGGTGTCATTCAAAGATTCATTCAAGGTTCAATCTGTGCCACGCTTTGCGTCATTCACACGTGTGTGTACTAAACAACTGTAGATGTACTCTTTCACCTTCTGAGCTTAATATAATTTCAAAGAACTGAAAGGCTTGTGCATTTTCAGAATACATCCTCATTCATTTTTACTGCAGTGTGTATCTAGTGGTCTGACAAAGAAATTATTTTATTATCCTAGAAGTCTACCAAAAGTTTAATTTGTATTTGCAACATTAATAATTTATGTAACAAAATATCAATACTTGGCATCTGTGTATTGATAGGATATTGCCAAGCAAAATATCGTGATACTATTATGTATCAATTTTCCCCCCACGTCTACTATAAATCTTTTCTCTGTCACTGAGTTTCATAGCATGCTGAGTCAGTTTGTTCAGTACTGAGCAAATACACACCTGAACCATCAAAGCATATGCCGTATATTCTGTACAGAAACTTAGACAAAATGCTATAGCTTATCATGAAAAGACTGTTCTGCAAGAGACCACTTCAGTTTAAGGCATGTTATGTCTTGTCAACATGACAGATGTGAAATATGTCACAGTGGATTCAGTTTCCAGGTGTGTGACTCTCTGGATTCTGAGCAGTTTAGCACTTGAAATATTTCATGTGCTGAGGGAACAGAGAAAGTACAGCCTGTTCAAAGTCACTGATAATACTGAGGCATTAGAAGAGGTAAGAGTTTGTGTTTGTGGGCTGCTTGTTTGAGTGCTAAGCTGTGACGATACACATGCTTCGGCCTTTCTTCATGTTACTGCAACAATATTTGAAAAGTCTGTTTCACTGGTCGGCTCTAACCAAAGGATCTGAACTGCAGTAGGTGAAAGCTCATGCAGTCTTCCAAAATAATCTAATCTAGCAGACTAGATAAGCCTGTCACACCCTCAAGCAGAGGCTGCAGATTCCTGTCCCTGCATTTTCTAGACAATCCCTAAGGTGAGGGTGTGGAGTTTGAGAGCCAAAATGAACAAGTCGACATTTTTTTTCACCTGTGGTCCCACAGCAAGGCAGGAATTAACAAGTAAATCACTCTTAATGCAATCACTCATTTCTTGCTTTTTGATTCAAGTTTACTTGGAGCTTATCTTGTTATTTTTTCTATGACCCATCTTAATTCATGTCTCTTGAGATTAATGTGAAGCATATTTTGCTTTGTGTGGTGTCCATGTCTCTGAAGGCCCTGACTTGTCACATGAAGTTGATATTGTCAGATATGCGGGAAAAGCTATCTTGAGATTATTAGTCATGAAACAAACCTGCACAGCAACAACATTATACCCTGTCCCTGATAAGTACTGTGTGTATTTGAGAGGCTTCTGCAGATCAGTTTTAATTATTGGACCCATTGTGACTTAACTTCCTGTAAGGTATTATCACCGGTATTCATACCTCATGTATTTCTTTTCATGTAATATTGCATGTTGAATTTCATCTTAGCTGATGAATTCATGAGACTTTCCTCACTATCATATTTCATGTAATAGTGGTTCAAGCTGGCAGTTAGTTCTAGCATAAGGTTATGCATTTAGCTGAAAGCACTGTTGCTCCCAAATACAATCTTGGCACAGTAAGAATGAAGTTGAACTGCTTTCATGTGACTTAAAAATGTTTCAAGTTGAATCATAAAATCCCACATATCTCAGGGCTTTATAAATCTATAAATCTATCGTAAATGTGCAGAGATGAGAGGAAAACAAGAGGCTCTTAAATGAAATATCAGAACACAGTGGAGTTCCTTGTTTAACTTCCAGTTCCTGAGCTCAAGTCTGAATACAAACACACA